ACGGTGTCCCCTAATCTTCTCCATTCTCTCCCTCCAGGTAGCTGCTCGGATTTGACAGCTGGCCTGCCTGGGGTTTTTCTTTCAAACTCTAAAAAAAAAAATGTCTTTTGCTTTCATTTGAGTCCATTTAAAAATATTTTATTAATTAGACTAAAAACCCTAGGAAGCGACCCTGATTTCGCCTATACCATTATCAGCTCAGAGGCTGGGTCAGTTATAACTATGGTAGATGTTCTTAATACACTGGCAGCCCTCAGATAACCATGGTTCTTGAAGTTACACTTTCTGCAGCTCCTTCCACTACCATTGACCTGACCATGTGACTTTCTTTGGCCAATGAGATATGAGTATTAATACAAATCACAAGCAAGGCATTCCTAGTCTATCAGCAGCTAGGGTTGGGCCCCAAGGAAAACACAAACACTGGCATGTCCTGGCAGGTGCTAGTCAGAGCTGAGGACACAGAGGTTTTACAACGGGTTCCACATACTCAGGGTCTGAGTTCTACTGCTGTGATGAAACACCACGACCAAAACGAGCATAGGATGGAATTTCATCTATCTCACTTACAGCTTGTCATCATCGGGGTGTCAGGGCAGGAGCTCCAGGCAGGAGCTGAAGCAGAGGCCGTGACGGAGTGCTGCTTATGGGCTCATTCCTTATAACTTGCTCAGCCTGATTTCTTGTTCTTTTGTTTGTTGTTGTTTGTTTGTTTTCGAGACAGGGTTTCTCTGTAGCTTTGGAGTCTGTTCCGGAAGTCTCTCTGTAGACCAGGCTAGCCTAGAACTCAGAGATCTGCCTGCCTCTGCCTTCCAAGTGCTGAGATTAAAGGCGTGTGCCACTACTGCCCAGCTTCAGTCTGCTTTCTTACAGCACCTTGGACCACCAGTCCAGGGGGACCCTCCCACATCATTCATCAATCAAGAAAATGTACCATGGGCATGCCTAGGGTCCAGTCTGGTTGGGGCATTTTCTCAATTGATGTTTCCTCTTCTAAAAAGATTGTAACTTATGTAAAAATATCCAACACATTTGGTGAGCTGAAGAACTAAAATCCAAAAGACCCTGAATCATCAAGATGTCAGCTGATTGCCAGCTTTCACTTTCAACTCTGGATCCTTTCACATGACCCGTCAGCAAAGCAGAATTTCCCACATGCATTCGAATTAACCAATCAGACTCATTCCATTTTGATGCCTAATTTATATATGGTACCAAACTGCCTCATTCCCAAGACATAAAATTCTACTTTAGCATACTACTTGGTAATGCATCTTCAAGTCTCCCCTCTGACTACAGAGAACTGTTTCTTTATTTCTCAGTGCACTCTGCTTGCTTCTCTTTCTTTTTTTGTGTTGCCCTTGCTTGTCATCCTTAGCAACCACGAGACAACAAACTCCCCTCCAACAGAAGAAACCAAAAGCCAACAGCAATTGTGTGTTATAGGCAGTCTTGACAAACAATTGCATGTGGGATCTCTCCTTTGAACACTTGTTTCTGGAGTCCCGAGTCACCATGGGAATGCCCAGGTACCCAGTGGTCTCAGTCAACCACGCTCAGAAGCTTGGGGCACGTGAGTGCAGAAGAGCCGAGCACACTGGTGAGTCCAGCGCGTATCAAAGCCAAAGGAACGGCACATCATCATTGGATAAGCCACTAAGTTTAGGGTGTAGTTTGGTGTCTAGCAATAAATACCAAAACAACACTGATATTCACAAATCCAGTATTTGTCATAGCACACATAATTTTTTAAAAAATCAATTAATTCACTATCGAAATTATGTAGCCTGACAATAATCTAATTATTAGATTCAAGAAACACTGATTTAACAGGAGAATATTAGCAAGAACAGTGACTCCAACTTATAACAAAAGATCTATCCCTGCCAGGCTCTGTGTGTCTTAGCGACTGTTGTCCTGCTGTAACAAAACACAAAGTTCAAGGCATCTGATGAAATATAGCATTTAATTGGCTTTAAAGTTCCCAAGTGTTAGAATCCATGATGGAGACAGAGACAGCTGGGAGCTCACACTTCAGTTTATAAGGTGGAGGCAGAGAGCACACAGGAATCTTTTGAATCCTCAAAGTCGACCCCAGTGATACACCTCCTCCAAAAAAGTCACATCTCCTAATCCTTCCTAAGCAGTTCCACTAACTGAGACCCAAAATTCAAATGTGTGGGCCAATGGGAGCCATTGTAATTCAAAGCACCACACTGGGGCACATATTTTCTATGCACAGCATACTCTAATCCTGCCAATACCCTATAGGTAAATAATTTATGAATTAGGAAAATAAAGTCATCTTTCCTCTCATGATACAGTCTTTTAAAAATTACTGAATAAATTTTAAGCCAAACTGCCTTGGCTTAAAAGCTAATGAATAGAGTTCACTTTATATAAATATTTATGGAGTTATGTATTTCTGGCTTCTGTGCTTCTATTCAGGGTCAGAACTGTTCGATTTGATCAGATGCTTGGCCTATAGACAGGCTCTTTCCAAGTCCTTCAGTGGCTGCCAGGACCAGAGTACATCCTCACCTAGGCCTGTCTGACACCACTGGGCCCCAACCAATGCTGTGCATCCCAGGAAAGGAACACGGAGAAAGGATTCCAGTAACTACAACACAGCTCCAGCTCTCAAGGGTCAATGTGCTTCTAAGAGCAAACTAGCTCACAACCTCAAAACCGTCACAGATCAAGTTGGGTGTTAACAGTCCCAGGAGAAATTAAACAAGGAGATATGCATAGGAGAAAAGGAGAAAACTAGGGAGGCTGAGAGGAAAAGAGAAATCTTTTATGGTTCAGGTGAGCATAGCTTTGGCTGCACTGGAGCCCAGAGGAGAGGGACTGTCACCAAGGATGTGGCAGTGACACTGGTCATGGCTCAGAGAGACAGACTGTGGACAGAGGGCAGCTGGAACCCGCAGTAAGAAGTGCTGAACACTGGTTGTAGTGAAGAGAGACAGACTGTGGACAGAGGGCAGCTGGAACCCGCAGTAAGAAGTGTTGAACACTGGTCATGGCGCGGAGAGACAGACTGTGGACAGAGGGCAGCTGGAACCCGCAGTAAGAAGTGTTGAACACTGGT